TGGGCTACCCTTACAGAGTTCACCCAGACCCTAGTACTGACTTTACAGCATATCTCTAGTACTTTTAGTATACTCCTGCTTTGAACCCAGACTCCCAATTCAGATAGCCCGAAAGGACTGTGACTTGTTCTTGGTATATTAAGGCTGGCCCAATATCCTTTTCCTCCGGTCCGAAATTCGGTGGCCTGGTTGGTAGTACCTCTCACCCGAGGTTCTTGCTTGCCCGAATCCTTCACATTGGTATCCATTTTCTAGGTCTAGCCTTTATAGTAGTACCATCAAAGATCCGTGTTACCTCTCTGCTCAGAATTTCCGAGTGGGCTCCGGCTTCTCAGTTTTACAGATTTATACGGCCCAAGAACTTATTTTAAGTTTGCACCACCCAGTACCAGTTTGCATTTCTTTGGGTAACAGGTTACACAAATGCCCCAGACCTGCCAGTCATGCTGGTGCGACCATAGTTACAGGTATCCTATCCTAACTGATCGACAGAATGCTATCGTCATAATACTGTCTATATATTACATAGGTGATTATCCAAATTTTGCCGTTGGTGGGTTTTGAACTCACAACCTACTACTTGGGGGTATGACAACTTATCCACTTCACTAAGTCGCCACACTCTTATGATCATAAATTTAAAGCTGTGTCAAATATAAAACTTGCAATTTATAGATATTAAACAATTACAATTATGAGTCTATATTAGGTTTTTAAAAATTATAAATTATACTAAATAGAAATTACTATACTATTTTCTTATTTATTTAGATTATTTAACAAAAAACTAAAAAAAAAAAATTTAATTTTATTGTAAAGAGTCAGTATAAGATGCTAGTTAGTTTGAAAATAGCATTTAATAGGTTTCCAGTAGCTTGAGATAAATGTATAGTCATATTTGTATTGCTGTATTATTTTTGATTTATGTTGTCAACAATTCTGTTTAAAAAATAAATATTGTTAACTGTTTTGGTAATTTTATATATTGATCTTTAGAAAGAGATAAATTAAATTGTATATTTTTACAAAATTTTTTTTTAAAAAAAGTGAAAATACTAGGTGAATCAACTTTTAACTTCTATAAGTTCTTAACTCTTTTGAATATTTTTTGTAGGTTTTGTAGTTGTATAAAAATAATATATTTAATTTTATTATTTATTTTATAAAAAATCTTGATTTTTATTGACTACTTCTTCTATAGTCTCAAAATATTTTTTAAATTGTCACCACAAAATTGTAACTTTTTTTAACTTTATTTCAATATTTAATTATAGATATATAGTATTTCAGAAAGGTTTTCATAAAGTTTAATATATTAACTCTATTATTTTTTTATAGTTCAACTTTTTGAAAAATTTGATTCAAATGATTATTGAAAAGAGTTGCTAAACAAATTGCTGATATGAAATAAATGTTGAGAATAGATTATCAAATAAAATTTAATAATAAGTTTAACATATCATTAGATATCATTGTATAAATTTTTAAAGAAATTAAAAATTCTTCAGAAAAATCTTTATCATTAATTGAACTTGTTTTAATGCTTTTTGATATTTGAAGAAACCTTCATAACTCATTATTTTCAAACTGATTTAAAAAATACATAATATTTTCAAACAGACACTAAGTATTTATATTTATACTTATGACTTGTGTTTTAAATTTTTTGTTAGATATAAACATGTATTAAGCATGCAGAATCCTGTATTTGATAATGTCTAATTGTAAGATAATAAACAAACAAGACATCTAAACACTTTATGGTCTGGTATAACAAATTGCTTACAGGTACCATTTGGGTAACTGGAATATAAGCACTGAGTTATTAGAAAGTTATACTTATAATCTTGTATCAAGCTTTTAGATAGACACTAAAAAAGTGACTAGTGTAACAGCCAAAGTAAATATATATGAGTGCGTGAGAGTGAAAACCTGGAAACCGATCATAGTAAATCATTTAACTCGGTTTTCAGGTTTTCACTCTTACGCACTCATATAGTAAATATACATTATAAAACAAAATTGTTTTAGTTTAATTTAAAGTAAATTTGATTTTAAAATTAGAATTTATATTAAAAATTTTTGTTTGATCTAAAAGTTGGTTTATAATCAAAAATTTTAAGATATTAACATATCTATTTATATATCTATATATACAAATCAAAATTTCTTTTTTTAAAAAGATTAGCTATTTTTATAATACAAATATAACCTTTTGGTTGGTTTGTTTGAAAAATTATAAATATTTAGAAAATTTTGAGCGATTTAATTTGAAAAACAGTTTAAAAGATTGCAAACTAAGGTTATGAATTTTTTTTAGATAAAAACAATAATTTGGATAAGAATTACCAATTAAGTATTATAAATAATGCATTTTTTTGGTCGTATTAATAAAACCTATACCTTAACAATTTATTTGATATAAAAAAATATTCAACCTTCTTCGTACATAAACATTCTTGATTATAAGTAAAAAAATCTTAAACTTTTTAACTTATCTAAAAAAACATATCTATTGAACTTTACAGACGTTATAGAATTCATGCATATAAATAAATTTACAAATAATTTAGCATATTCAAATTCATCACGTTATGAATTTAATATAACAATTATATTTTATCAACTATAAAAATTACCTTTTCGTACATGAATGAGTCCATTGACAAATAAACTGTTTAATGTATCATTAAGGAAAAGGATTCTTTAAGGATGAATAATTAAACATTGCAAAATAAATTGTAAAATTATATCAAAATCATAATTATTTTTGTTAACGTCATCATAGTAAATAAAAATCAAACATTGTTGGTATTGTTGTGATCTTGCACATCCCCAATGAGCTGATCAATATCAGATAAATCATCAAGCGTAGTAGCAGCAGTTTCAGTTGCTGATGAGTCAGAATCTAGAGGTATACAATTACTTCCATTTTGTTGTTTTTCTACTAATATATTTTGAATAAGATTGATTTTTTCTTGTTGTCTATTCGTTATTTAAAAAAAAAAAAGATGTAATTAATAATAGATCAATCCTGAGAATATGTATTTATTTAAAATAAATTTCAGGAAAATACTTTGATATAAAAATTTCATTTTCCTTGATAGCTAATTGAAAATCTGCATCATTTTCATCAAAATTTTTCATCTCTTCATTAGATCGTATTAAATGATTTACAGAGTTTTCCAAACGACGTTTCTCATGGGTTAGAGTGTCCACACTAAGCGTATGATATTGTTCTACTGTTGGTTCAATAGGTGGTAACGAATCCATTTTATGAAAATGATCGAGTAAAGTTGTCAGACGATGAATTGATCGTATTTAGTTTATATGTCAGGGACCGATCTGAGATGTTACGTTACACTAAGGCCCGGGCATAAAAGTAGTATTCTAAAATGATTTAAATGAATGATATTATCAGTTTAGCAGTTTATTGAATTTTATAAATTTCAAATGACTCAATTTACGTACGTACGTACAACGTACGATACTTTCATTGAAACTGATAGGCGGACCCAATAACAAGAATCAGATTCGAAGTATTTCCTTTTTTTTAAGTGTCATTAAATATTGAGTTTCATCATAAGGGGTGATTTATCCTAATCTCACCTGACGACGAATGTAGTGACGTTGAATTCTAAGGCGTCAACAATTAAGCACAACATTCTTATTATATCTAATTAACGTTAACATATTTTTTACTGAACTAATTATCCACGTTTTGCATCTACGAATACATCTCCAAATTCAGCGAAGACTTGGTATAATTACCATGAGGGTGATATAGGGATTAGAGTATAGCACAATAGATATCAAAATTTGTTCAAATTTTCTTTAAGTGATTAATAAAATGATTCGAGTGAAATGATATTAAAGTATTATTTGAATAAAGTACTTTTTCTTTAAAAATAAAATTTCAAATTAATGATTAATATTAATTCAATAGTTTATATAGGTACTTGTTATTTCTTAAGTTTAATAAACTAATCATAAATCTATTAGATTAAACAAGCAATTCAAGCTTATCAACATTTTATAATGTTTCTAAGATGTATTCAACTACAGTTATTTAATTCTATTATAAGGCTAATATTATCCAATTCGAATGTCATTAAAGTTTCTAAATACATTATAAAATAAGATGAATGTTGCTTAAACTCTATTTATATATAGTTCCAAAGGTAGGACTTGGTGTTTGAATATTAATGTTTATTCCACTAATAAGCCCCAACAAATCATCGCATGATGTTTTATCACCGCTAGTCCTTACTTTATTATTAAGGAATCTAGAATTTGTAGGACTTTTTAGATTCAAATTAAGACTTGTGGACCTTCTATGTGATTTTTTCTTCATATTTGGTGGTGATAAATTATTACTATTTTCTCCGGTAAAAGTACCACCACTGTTTAAAGATAATACATTTGAAGCATCATCACTTAATGTCATTGAAGTTCCGCAAAGTTTAGGGCTGCTAGGTGCACTGTGGATCTCTAAATGAGTGTTTGTCTCGTAATCGTCTTCATCAGGCATATTTAAATATCTAGTTGTACGTTTACTTGTGGATAAATAGTTGGAATCAGGAGGCATTTGCGAATAAGAAGGAAGGTCATGAGAAGTTACTGGGAACACACGGTTATGATCTTGCGGAGAAGCATTTAAATTACTATAACTCGGGTGTGATGTTGGTGTAGTATAAGCAATAGGAATACTAGGAGGTGGTGAAGTTGCTCTTGAGTTAATTTCGTTTCTATGTAAAAGACGGTCTACCAAAGAACGTTGACTCTTTTTATTTTTTAGGGTTGGTTGACGTTGATCTGATAATACTGAGCCATTTGAAATTCCATTTCCACCGCTTGAGGAATTATCTGTAAAACCATCATTGTATACATCATCAAGATTTGGAGATGCGGACCTGGTGTTATTTCTAGAGGGATTTCTAGAATTACTTCTGGAATGATTCCTAGAATTGCTTCTAGAATTATTCCTAGAATGATATCTTGAGTTGTTATCCGAATTATTTAATTCACATAAAGGGCTAATTGGTCTAGAGTCACTAGATTCTTCATAACCCATTGTAGGAGAATCCTCTATACAATCATCATAAGAAGGCAGACCATTATCACAAAGCATACCAAAAATCGAAGAGTAATCATCTTCTGGAATGGTTGTAATAGTAATTGGAAAACCTAATTCTAAATCCTTTTCAGTTTCATCTCTAAAAGTCATTGAAAGTCTAAGTTTATGCCTAACACGAATTAACGGAGAATCTATTGTCGCTTTTAACTTAGACGCACAGGCTTTACCAGATGTTGCGGTACGAGAATATTGAACGAAAGGAAGATTATAGGTCAATGGATTATTCCAATTATCAACATCACTAAAAATAGTTAGAGCCGTTGGTTTTATTTGACTAGATCGTTTACGTTTTGTCGGTACAGATCCGTTTAATTGAACATTGCCAACAGGTTGAGTGTTATCAATATCATAATATATTAAATCTTGTTGACTTGGTTGGACTCTGAAATAAATAAGGTTAAATTGGGTAACTCTATAAAAATTTGTTAACGATTAAAAATTGTTGATTATTACCTGTATTTTTCAGATTGAACTAAATCGAAAGTAATTTTCTTGACATAGCCCTGTTCGCTACACGGTAATAATCTAACTCTGATCAACAAACTTCTCTCGTTAACGCTTATGACAGTAGGAATATCTAGTTCGTATTTTAAAATATTCCTTCTCTGACCTCTATAAACCTTTGTAGGTGGTGCGGGCAAGAGTTCTCTCCTACATGGCAAATAATGTCTATAAAAATAAATACCTCGCTCAACCCTTTCACATTTTGCGAGCATTGAAGCAGGTTGAACTTCAGCCATCAGCTTGTATCTGATCAAACCAAAACTAGTAACATAACTTTGAGGCATATTTCCAGGTACTCTAAGTTCAAAGTTAAGATCTGTTACACCTCTTGGTAAAACATCCTTTTCATAAAGTGTTTGTTCAAGTTTAAATACATTTATACAAGAATATTGATTTTCCCAATCTGAATACTCAGATTTTCCTTTTAATTTGATGGATATGGATTTCAATTTCAATGGTTTCGAGACTATTACACGAAGTTTACCAGAAACTAAGTGAATTTTATCTTTGTTTGGTTCACCGTACATTATTAATTTTCCATCATTATCTGGAATGATGTCTACAGCAATGATATTATTATTCATTGCGATTATTATGACTATTACGACTGTAGTTAGGAAGGACGAAAAAAAATTAAAATAATAGAAAAAAAAAAAAAAATTTTAAAAAAGAATATTGGGAAGATAAAAAAGAAACCGTATACGGTTATTGTCTTTATATATGTATTTCTTTGATGAATAATCTATAGGCTAGCAATATATAATTGAAAATTTATGCTATGCATTCCTGAAACTATTGTTAGATTAACTTATGTTAATCATATAAAACTTATTTAAAATTTCTAAGAATAGAATTGAAACAAGATTACTACGTAGTATAATGTTAAGGTATATAAAGAATAAATTAAACAAGTTCAGTATATGAAAGACGTAATCAAGCAGTTTTTTAGTACGTATATATGTGCATTATGTGCATTCATTTTAACTTAAGACAACGCAAACATTACAAGTCGTTCGGATTCTTTCTTTGCCTTATTTGGCAACGAAGTATATTACGTGCATCACAAATAAATTTTCTTTTTAGATATATTTTTTATAACAAAAGCGAAACTTTTTTATTCAATTATTTAAAAAAGAATATAATTAAACAGTTCCCTTTCCTGAAATGTTTTTAATGTCATGCTTAACGCACATATGATCGTTAAGATTGGACAATATGCATGCACCCTTTTATCATAAAATAAGATTAAGCATTCAAATTCATTGTTGAATAATGTCTAGTTATCCCGCTTAATTGGAGATGAAGTAAATTGACATTGATTTCAAATATATATATTTGTTTATAGAAAAAATAGTGGTATAAGTAATTTGTACTAGTTGAAATAGTATAATATTCACCGCTCTTGGTCCTTATAATTCAGAGACAAGGGACAAATAAGATTACATTAACTGTAAACAACGATAATACTTGCTCCTCGTGAAATTTAGTATTGTATGTGTCATTCAATTATACAATACGCCTTTATGTTCATAAAATTAACTTTCCCGTGAAAGGAAGAGTACTTAATTTCATTTGTCGGACGAAACCAAATTTGGTAGACTGATGTTTGGTAAAAACAATATAGATTTTTGCGTTGTTCTAAGTTGTGCATTGTTACTACTGTATATCTATACTTTTATAGAATATCAAGTGATTACCATGTGAATCGGTTGTTTTTTTCTCGCCCGAAAGTTCATAAAAAATATTTCAAAATTTTTGGTTGCGGATAACCCGATAATCGGATAACCCCCGTATAGGCGTAATCGGTTAATCTTTTGCATAGTTAACTCATAATCAGTTGACGACTGGTTATGACAATCGTGAGTTTTCAAAGGCTTCGCTTTAGAAATTAGGTACTTTATTTTATTTCAAAAGGTGAAATTCTTCGGATTCATGATCATGAGCAAACCAATTTTATTTTTATTTACCCAAAATAATTATTTTAGAAATTTTTGCTTATAGTTTTTTCAGAAAGAATATAGGCAAAGAATTGCTACAGTACAACGAATAATTATACAAATCATATAGGCCCATGTTACTATTGGTTGAGAATATAAATTCAGATATAAAAGTCAATGTTTAAGAAAATTTTTCATTAATCCAGTTTGTTATATTGATTTATTCTACTTTTATTTGGTTTATTTTTTTTTAAAGCGACCTTTTGGTCGGTAATTACAGAGCTAATTACAGACATCAACGTTACATGATTTTATCCCCGAGGTAAACTTTACCTACTCCGCTATAGCGTCCATCCAGGATTTTACACTTTTAGCTATTCTTATTAGTATTTCTCACATCACTTATACAAATTACAATTATACTTCCAAATAGATGCTACAACTAAGGTCTTGTAAACTGTTGATTACTTCCTAATTTGATAGTTAGCCAGGTACCAACTTACTAGTCCATAAGTTCAAAGTTTTTTGATTATCTTTTGTCGATACCATACTAATATTTCTTTTTTGAACTTTCTCTTTGCTTCAAAGCACTAACAATTGTGATTTTTATAATTGTGCTGTATAATTATAATTGTATGTTATGTTTATATCTTTGAGAAGAAATTTTGTATACAGGTAATGCATATTAGTATAAAGATACTATTTCTAGTTTTCAAATAATTCAGCTAATGTTTACAGATAATTATATCTAAATGTTGTTATATAATAATTTCTTGTTTAGTACTTTTAATCATTTTGAGATTTATTTTATTTTCTAAATAAGAACTAATATTTTACTATTTAAATCTTTTGCTTTTAGTTACTTTTATTTAGATAAAAAATTGTTTTTTTTATTATAACATTTATTTTTAGAAAACTGATATTGTTATATTCTTGAATTATATATACATATATCAAGTATATTAAAGGTCCTTGTATATAATTTTTTTTAAATAACTTTATATATAAAAATTACAATAATTATTATTATAATTTTTTATATATAAAGTTATTTAAAAAAAACCCATATACGAGGAGTTTTAATATACTTGGTATATTTTTTAACCAAATTTTTTATATTAATAATAATTTATATATAATATAAATTACATATATAAGTAATAGAATACGTATTAATATGAAAATTTTATAAATAATTTAAAAATATAAAAACATTGATTTTTTAATTTTAATTTTATTTTAAAATATATCTTAAAGTATTAATACTATATTAATATATTAAACTTTTAATTTGTATTTTATTTAACAATATTAAAGTTTTAATTTATAAATTAATTAGATATAACAACTTGAAATAGTTGGTAAATTGTTACCTTCAAGTAGCATTATTTAGAATTTAAACAATATTTTTTAAAAAAATTATATGTGTTATACGTAATATACTGTCTAAACTAAGTTGAGTTAAAATACTTGTAACCTTAATTATATCAATATAATTAGAAGTTTAAAGCATTCATGTAATATTAGACAAAAAAAAAACACAAATTGTTACTAAAGTAAGTGTAAATTTATAATGAGATTATCAGACATAAAAATCTAAAAAACAGAATGCTTGCTTATAAGACTTAAGTAAAGAAATAGCACAGATCTTTGATAATACTGCTATAATCTTAAAAAAGATTCACAGAAAAAATTATCTTAAAGAAACTGAATAAAGCAAAGATATTTAAAAAGATACCTTTATCAATCAGATTGTCATATATTTAAGCTGAAAAAAAATATATATATTAATTGTATATACTAAGAATAGGACATAATTCTACTAGGCTTTCTAGATTAAAAGTTTGAAAATTCTAAGATTGTAAATAAGAGGATCATAAAGTAAAGACATGTTATGAAATTAGTACTAAGATTAAGTGAATTTTATAAAGACAAAAGTAGGTAATAATAATGATCTAAAAGAATAACTCAAGTATGGTAATTAGTGTGAAACCATAGCGGACCACTTAAATTAGGCAACCAAAAGTTATACGCATGACTAGTTAGACTTTTAAATATATATCAAACCATTGTAGTATAAAGCCAATGAGCTCAATGCGCCTTGATCAAATAAAAGCAGGCCGCCAAGAGGTCACCTTTAACACTGAAAAAAACAATAAACACAACTCTATAATATTCTTAAAACCAAGATGTGATTATAGAAAGAATTGACTGTCGTAAATGGGAATTTTCTAGTTAAATTAGGGTTAGGGTAAGGGTGTTCATATGATAAAATCAACTCTAAAATGCTGGTTTTGTATAAAAATCCGGAATCCACTTAAATTCCGTTTACACTTACAACTATATACAGTAAAAAAAATTCTTTTAAATGCTATAAATATAAAATTCAAGTAAAGATCAAGTATAGCATAATATTAATCAATTGATTTATAATAGAGGTTTTTATACGTATGATATATATTTGATTCTAAAATAAAAGAAAATTTATCAAATTGGTTATCAAATAAAGCAACCTTACTATAAATAATTTTTTGAAAATTTTGAGGTTTTGACTAAAAATATGTTGATAACTACTTTACTAAATTTACTAAATTTACTAAATTTACTAAATTTAAAATTTTATTTCTAATCGATTTTTGCCGATAAAACAGCCAATTAAAAACGAATATTCTTTAGACAAGCAAAGTACGGCTTCACTTGCAACATTATACCCCTGACAATAAGACGCCTGTTTCCTATTAACTAGCTTTTTGACTGTTCATAATTTTATGACTGGTTAATCGAATGGTTTCAATCTTTATTATAAATAAAAAATAAAAAATTCAATGCATTTATGTTTATAATACATGCGTTATTTGTGCGTTGTACTTGTTTTTTTTTAAAAGATGAGAAATGACATAAAATACTAAACACATATATAATGCTAATGTGTCTATTGATATAAAATGCAGTGCAAAGTATTTCATTCTTTCTAGAATTAATGGACTAAAATTTACACGAGATTATTATGTACATGTTTACGTTTTGGCTTAACAAATCCAACTTGAGTTTCGTTTGACAATTCTTCCAATGATAGATTTTTTGTTTCAGGTATTAACATCGTTGAAAAAATTCCAAAAAACATGAACAAAGCAAAAATTTGAATTAAATGAGGGACGAACTTGTTTGTACCACCTATGTCTTTAAATTGTGCAAACCCTGCTTGTGCTATGATTGCCCCAAGTTTTCCTGATGCAGCTGATATTCCATGTCCAGTTGAACGATATCTTGTGGGGAAAATCTCTCCAGGTACAATAAATGTTGTTGCATTAGGCCCAAAATTTAAAAATAACTAATAAAATTACTACGTTAGTTGAATAATATTTAAATTAAAGGCTATTATCAAATAATATTCAATCTTACTTGACATAATGAGAATAATAGAACGAATATAACCATAGGTTGTTGCGAGATATATTCATAAGCAAATCCCAAAATTAAAAATAATATGGTAAGAACGGTAAATCCCATTAATTGGATGGTTTTACGTCCCCATTTGTCCACTAAAAGAACAGTAAGCCAGTATCCTGGAACTGTACCCAACATATTGATAATAACATTGCCAACAGACATATTCCATAGAGCACTAAAGGAGTCCGAATTATTTCCAAAACCGATGGCTTGTAGAATGATTGCATTGTTTAATCCTATGCCTATATCATTAAAAAAAAAAAGTTATTAAGTAAAGCAACTTTAAACATGGTTTAAATTTTATTGCTTTATTTACCATAAAATGCGACGTCCAATACGAACCACGAGATCGAAGTCCCTAACAAAGGTTTACAGTTTTTCCATTGACTAAAGTAACATATAAAATCCTATATATATGCAATTATACATCACTTTAATAAATTTGTGAAATATGCGTGAATCTTTATAACAACTTACCTCCCATGTTGCACGAGGAGCTTCTACCATATAAGCAGGTTTATCTTGAAAGCCTACGTTGTGCTTATCCTTCAATAATATGACATCGATATCGTGAGCTGCTCGTTCGATATCATGCAATACATCCATCGTATAACGTGGTGTTTCAGGGATTGTCAGTCGAAAATATAACGCTATAACTGCTGGAATCACACCAAATCCCAATACTAGTCGCCACACATAATCAATGTATCTGTGATCGTCGAGTATTTTGTATTTGAAGATCGACAAAACAACCACTGCTATTATAGCCGCAGATAAAATCCCAAAACCTTGCATAGCAAAAACGGCAGCCATCATTGCCTGTATGAATAATAACAAAGTTTATTAAAATCGAAATATTCAAAGATAATGTTTCGAAAGTTCTACATACACCCCGTCTCTTTATCGTTGCAAATTCGCTTGTGATAACTTGAAATATTAAAATATTATTTGTAGATATTTATTAACTGACTATATTACAAGTTGGTACAAAGTCTGAAATTTAAAAAAAAAACATTTACCAGCTGATAAAGGGTAATCACCACCAATTCCTATACCTAATATGAACCGCCAAAATATTAGTGAGGCCCAAAGGGAAATAGCAAATGAATCCGCACACATCGCAGAGCCGATCGTTGCGACGACCATTATTGATAGTTCTAAACCATACATCTATTACAAAAAATTATCACCACGCAATAGGTTAAATGATAATCAAATCTAACTAGAGTCGGGTTCCTAAACCCTAATCTACGGGTTTAGGCCAGAGGCCTAAATCCTAAAATATAACCTAAACCTGTAGTTTCGGGTTTAGGGACCCAACTCTAAATAAAAAATATAGCAAACTCATATTTACTTTTTTACGTCCATAATGATCAGCAGACCAACCAAAAAATATTTGACCTACTAGGGTTCCACACGCAGCAGACATCTTTAATCCCATATCGATATTTGCTGGAACGGTACCGTCATGATCAAAGTAACTATAACCTATCATAGTAGAAACCAAATTTATGACAAACAAGTCGTAGGCGTCCGTAAAAAAACCAACTCCAGATACCACACAAGCCCTGATATGAAACCATTGAAAGTTTGCATTATCTATTTCATGGAGTGCACGAATTCGCTTAGAGTCAACTTCAAGAATTTCATCGAAAGTATATTTTTCATCATCATTTGTAAATAAAATATCATCATTATTATTTACAGAATTTATGAATATGGACATTAGGTGAATGAATAAAAAGGGATAAAGAGGGATAAATTATAATAATAAAAATAAATAAGAATAATCAATATTATCAGTGTTTATAGAATATTTAAAGAAAAATTGAATCACTTAAAATAAATTAAGAATTATTAATGTATATAAAATATTAAAGACAAAATTGAAACATTAAGTACTTCAAATTTCATCAAAATGCATTAGATTTAACAATTAATTTCTATCATACGAAAAAGCTTTTCATAACGTCGAAACAATGATGCAGTTTTTTTTTCAATAAAGTTAGGTTTAAATATAGGAGTTTGAGTTTCACGGTGTACTTAATTTAACCTATATACCAGATTTCGAATTTTGGATCTGATTATTTTTTAGAATCGAGCAAATGATTTGGCTGTTAACACCAAGTTCAGCCATATTGATTATTTAAGGCAGGTCACCCTGGAGAAAGAAAAAACAATACCTTTCTTATGGTTAAAGATGATACAATGTTTATTACACACAGATGTCAATTTTTAATTCATGGGTTATTTCATTTATGATATTTCTATAAAATAGTTTAATAAATCCAATATTGGAAATCACGTTTTATTTGTTTAACACTTTGTATGTAACACGAAAAGCTTATAAATCTGTTGTTACCGTTTTATTGATTGTCTAGACAATAGTAATAATGTTGATCCGGCCATCTCCATCGAAAGACAAAATAAGAAACATATAACTTGGTATACTAATCGAAACTAATTTTACGTAATAATCTCATAAAGTAATAAATTTTAAATTGATATAGACTTAAAAATTTAGGTCTTGAAAATATCATATATATATCATCAGTATCAACTCAATTGGATTAGATAATTCTGTTGATACTACGAGAGTTGATAACAAATAAATAATTATTTATATAGCTGAACAGAAATTTTTATTAATGAAAGTTTGATATTAATGAGGATCAAGTGCATTAATTAATTTAGTTATACGTATAAAATTCATTTATTTAGAAATCTTCGGACGGATTAAAGTTCATTAGCATATGTATTTTACGTATTATAAGATTTATACGTAGACATTTTTGCCTTGAGTTTCAAAGTTAAAAGTATATTTCAGGATTAGAGTTAGTTATTTAAAGTTAGGTTTTTTAAAATTACTAAACGTCCTTACTTAATGTACCAAACACAAATTACTAAAACTATTTGAAAATTCTACCTTTAGTATAACAAAACCATCCTACTTTAAATTGCTACAGTATACAATACATATTATCTTTTGATATGTATAATTTTTTTTTTTTACATAATAAAATCACTAAATTATTATCAATACTATTAATTTTAGTTGTGTGACTGTCACTATAGCTTTTAGGTATTTCAACCCGGTAAAGATAGAATTTTTATTATTTAAAGTTTGTAATAAAATATAACTACTTTAAATCAATTGATTGTTTACTAAGGTGTCAGTAATCGAAAATTTCTATTCATTAAATATTCAAATATTTATTTACGATTTCTGATAAATATTCGGTTAATAAAAAGGTAAATGAATATCCTAACGCCTTTTTTTTCACAGAATCGGACCTCCAAATACGGAGTGAGGTCTTTGAAAGAAAGCACCAATCAAATTGCAAGATTATCTAAATTCAAACATCTTATCTAAGATCATAATTATTTAGAGTAGGGAACACAAGAAATATTTAGGTATACCTGAGATGGCATGCCTCTAGTTAAGACATGCCATTCTTATTGTCTTAGTGTGCCTTTGGCGTGTCTTTATGTGTATAGTAATACAAGTACTAAGTCCTTTGTTGAGTCTTGTTACTGCTAATATGTACTAGAGAGCGTCACAAACGAAATGAGCTTTTAGATAAGTTATTATGTTTATTTTATTCATTCTTTACTAAGTTATTATTGTTTTCTTGGTCTTTTATTTCAGAGTCAGGTTGAAAAATGAACAGAGACATTATGAGTAATGGATGGTCATCTGGCAGAGAATGTAGGCAATGGCTTTTTTTTTTTAGGAACATACACAGCATACATTTATTCTTTACTTCAAGAACCTTTTTTTTTTCTTTTAGTTTAGACTAACATAATGATTCTTTACTTAACATGCTTGTAAATGGTGATGTTAAACAGCTCAGTTTAGTTGATTTGAAGCCAGTTTAAGTCAAGTTTTTTTAAGTCTAATTCAATAACCAACAACTCTTATTTCTGCAAATATGTTACAAAATAATAAATATGCAATTTTTTTGAAGAAATCGAAAATCAGTAATCGAAAATTAGTAATCACTTTTTTTTTTCTAATAATCAAATTTTACATAACTTTGCAAACCAAGCATATTATACTAAAGGCAGTTTTATTACACTATGTTTCAAAAAGCTTTGTTTTTAGTGTATCGAGATAACTTGAATTTCAAATTTCACGTGTAGATCTACAGATCCATTTGTCTTTCTATATGAGTAACACAGAGAAAACAAAACATCGGGGTTTACCCTAAATGATGGCAGAATATA